GACAATTCTCTAAAGTTATCAAAACTTATCGTAGCTTTGATATTTCCGTTCACACCATTGAAAACATGTCTTTTCATGACACCGTAGGATTGTTACAAAAACCAGCAGTTATTCAAGCCACTAGTAGATTATTACAGGAGGTTCGAAAAGCTTCTCCTTTAACATGTGGTACGAACAAGTATAAAAATCCTGCTAGAGTGTTTTTAAGTGCTTACATGATCGTGTCCCATACCAAGGAAATTATTGTCAATATCGGTCATCATGAAAGGGTAAGCAAATTTGTGAATTCTCACTCCCACATTATGCTTAGTTTTTTGGTTTATAATTTGGGGGTGATGGTGTTTGGATGGAGAACGAGGAAAATATTCAAATATTATAAAAGGGATTAGCTAGTTTATTTATTACATCTTGGTATATGTGATAATGGATTTAATATAGGTAGACTTTAGTGCGATCATTGATAATACATTCAAAAATTATTTACAGATTTTAATATGATTTTAATTATTATTGTGATACTTATCAAAAATGCTTTTGTTTTCTTTTTTCCAAATTTTATTATCATTCAAAAATCTATTTTATAGAATCTCTTGACGTCGGCCAAGGTTATGTTGAGAGAAATTGAACAATGGTTCTATGAAATAAGCAATGATGGACCAAATAAAATTTATTATAGTCATCTCCTCAGCTTTCTTTCTGCGTGGGATACCTATTATAACAATTTCAATACTTGGAAATCCAAGGATAGTCAAAAACTCGCTAGTAATCTTATCGCACATTATATGGAACTTGAAAAATTGTGGAATACAGTTAAAACACAGGCTAATGCAGAAACCGAGTGGAGAATGAATATTGTATATCAACAAGAGGAGATTAGACATAAAGTTAGGAACTTGGGTGGAGATGAGGCGATTTCCAAATTGGAACGAGTATTGAGAAGATTAAAAGCAAAACTTCCAAATGAAAGTGGCGACGAAACTAAAACATCAGATTCTGTTACTGGAACTAATAATGGGCAAGGGAATGAAGTGATCAAAGAACAAGATATGTCGAGTTCCCCACCGCGACAAAAATTTGTTCCTTCTGCTTTGGCCACTAATGTTCCTAATAAATTGGCACAGAATTTATCTCAATCAATTTCCAAATCATCTTCGCCCACGACTTCTTATTTTACGTTTTCTCCTAGTACTAGTCCTCCGGTTTCTCCGTCGCATTCTTCGACGAATCTTCATCGTATCATGCAAAGTTTGGGTGCTCATGAAAGATACGATCTGACTAACGAGCAACTTGCACATGAAATTATTATTGATCCCGAATTTGAGCTACAACCTCCAAAGAGGACGGAATTAGAAGATCGTGTTAGATCTATGGCTACGAAGGCATTCTTCGATTCCGCTAGAACAGATTTTGAAAAAGGAAAATACGACATTTGGATTCCTAATCTCCTCGGCGATGTTAAAGAGGTTTGTAAAAAAAGACTTTAAATAAATCCTTTCACTAACAGTTTTTTACTCACCATACATATTTTTAAAACAAAATAGCGACTATTTGATTTGGTTCCACCATCTTCTCCGTTGCATTCATCCATCAATGAAATCCTTGATATCGATTTGATTAAACAACAAACCAAAGCTGGTGTCTATAATATTCGTAATTGTATTGTTTATATTACCAATACTATGTTACAAATTTGTGCACCTGTCCGAGATGAGCAAATTCAAGAACTTAAATATGTAAATGATCTTGCAGAGATTTTTAAGCGTATATTGGAAATCATGGATCAAATGAGGTTGGATCTTACTAATTACCGAGTTAAGGCATTTAGGCCTTATTTGAAAGAACATGCTGTTGATTATGAAAGACGCAAATTCGAACAGGCGTTGCAATCTAATCGTTTGACCCTTAACCAAACTAAAGCTTGGTTAACTCCAACTATTGATTCATTGTTGTGTACAGTTGCAGAACGTAATCCTGAGAATATTCATCTCCCACAGCATAAACATAATCATGGTATCAAATTTGGTCAAGTATATAATGAGGCTTTTGTCTCATTTATTTTCCAACAATCAATTATTAACAAAAATAATTGTCCCGAAACATTTAACCTTGATGTTGAAAGGCTTTGGAATTTTCAAAACGAAGGCCAGGCCATTACTATCGCGGCTGCACTATTGATTCTTACCAAGAACGTGGCTAGCGGTCATGCTAACGCTTCATCCACCGACGATAACCTTACTAAATTAAAGGATACTTTTTTTGTATTATTGATGGATGGTGATACTACTATCGATAACTTATCTGCAGCGATTTTAGATTATTTTCCATCATCTCTTTCTCCTGAAACTCAAACCCTAGTTAAGTCAATGGTTTCTAAGACACTTTCCCAATCTGACAAAGTTTTTTCAATCTTGTCTCGTCGAATTCAAAGTATCATTAAGCAACATCTTCAGACAGGCCAATTTCCTAAAAGCGAAACATTGGCTCAATATGGCGTATTTACTGTGTCGAAGGAATTGGAACAACTTAGTAAGAAAATTTGTGTTCTAGGAAGGTATAATCGTGAAGTTTATGCTAGTTGGTATGATACTATTATTAAAGAATATTTGGATGATGTTAGTGAAGCAGAACAAAAGAAAAAACAAACCAAAAAGGGCAAATCGAAAAACATTGATGAATAAATAAATAAATCAAATTTATTCATATTTAACTTTTATATAAACGAAAATTTAGCTTTGCAAAATTCAGACATTTACGTTCTTTGATTTAATTGAAATGAATTCATATTATTTAGTAAAATATCTGTAATATTGATAAAGGTATAAATCAGGTCTATTGAGTTTATTAATTTTTTTTTTAAAAAGAAGAGCACATTCCGAATTTGTATTCACTTAAGAAAAAACTTAGTTTTTTATGAATAAATTAGATTTAACTGAATTACTTAATATACAATTGTTATACAATGTTACTAAATAAATAAATATTTATACATCGATCTTTTTTTCATTACAAACATCTAAATTATTTTTTAAATCAATCATATCTTCGCGACGAGCACCAACGCCAATCCATTCAACTAACAGTAAACGTAAAAATATTGTATGTGTAAGTATTTATAAATATCATTCAACATACACACATGAAGAAACTTACTCGGAACTTCTAAATATTTCTCGATTCTTTTTACGTAATTTTGTGCGTTTGTCGGCAAATCAGAAAATCGACGACATTTTGAAATGTCAGTTTGCCATCCCGGTAGATTCTCATATTGAATGGTGATTTTTTCAAGGGATTCCAAGTCCGCTGTGGTAATAAAAAAAAAAAAAATCAGTTATGTTATAGAATTAAAAATAATGTTTACTTCATGATACCGAGTAGTCTAAAAAATTAAATATACCTGGAAAACTTTCCAAAGGGATTCCATCTAATAAATACGCAGTTGCAATCTTGATTTCTGGAAGGTCATCCAGGACATCAAGTTTCGTTAGGTTGAGACTAAGGGATCCAAGTATTAATTAGTTTCAGTTGTCAAAGGCCACGTTATTTAATTATCTTCACAAATTTATATTTACCTCGTATAACCGTTGATAAGAGTTGAATACTTCAAAACTACGAGATCAAGCCACCCACAACGTCGCTTTCTTCCAGTAGTAGCACCTATTTCTGCGCCAACACGCTGTAGATATTCTCCAGTTTCCTATAAAATCACATTTAATTAAATATTGAATTAATCATTTTATAAATAACGGAAGAAACTTACGTCAAGTAATTCGGTGGGGAAAGGTCCGCCTCCTACTCTAGTTGTATAGGCTTTCACCACACCAATGACTTTATCGATCTTGGATGGTGGAATACCCAATCCAGTACTAACACCACCAACGGTAGTGTTAGAACTTGTAACAAATGGGTAAGTACCAAAGTCAAGATCGAGCATCAAAGCGTTGGCACCTTCTACTAAAATTTTCTTTTTTGAAGCTATACACTGGTGCATGAAAGTTACACTGTCAACGACATAGGGCTGAAGGCGAATAGATAATTCCTAATTGTTGGATAAATCTTTAATAAACAATCAAAATGTTGGTATATTTAGATGTAATAAAAAATAAAATAAATACCTTGTAACGTTCAATTTCTGCTTCAACATTGTAATCGAAATTCCCGTATCGTTTCTTTCGATTCGCGACCAATTTTTGAAATTTTTCAGAAAATGCTTGATGATTCGACAAATGGTGAACCCGCAAACCAGAACGTGAGGCTTTTGATGAATACGCTGGTCCAATACCTTTCTTGGTTGTACCGATACTAAAAGATTTTCCAGAACAAGGAAGGTCTCTCATCAGATCCAGAAACTTACATGACTACAGTTAAATTTTTATGCTCATGTAGCATCATTATTACGAACAACAATTTGACAGCTCTAATTGGATATCATGAATAATACACCTTGAACGACCAAGTTCTAATTCTTTCAACCCATCAACAATCTGATAGAAATCGAATACTAAATGTGCACGATTCGATAGAAATATGCGACCTTTAACATCCAATCCTAAAATAATCAGATAATTCTATAAATATGTTGATTCAATTTTGATGTGATTACCAGATAATAACTATATACCTTTTGCTTCCAGTTGTTCTAATTCGGTAAAGAACGAAGGAATATGAACAACAACACCCGATCCGATAACCGATACGCATTTAGGATTGATCAAACCTATTAAATGTAAGAAATTATCACTTTGCAAATATACTTACTTCATAAGAGTTTGTTTAAAAAAAAAAAATTACCCGAGGGAAGTATATGGAAATCATACTTAGTACCATTAACTACAATGGTATGTCCAGCATTATTTCCTCCCTAAAGATAAACATATATAAAAAAAGGCCAATGAAATAAAAGTTTTAAAATGAGTGGGAAAAGGCGGCCAACTCAAAGCATACTTACTGCGCAACGTGCGCACACATCAGCCTCTTGTGCCAATAAGTCAACCAATTTACCCTTTCCTTCGTCGCCCCATTGAGAACCTAATACAACAGTAATGCCTTTATCTGAAAGATTCGACTTTGAGAATATACTCATTATGATGCTACAAAGATTGTGCGAGAAGAAAAAATTTTTTTATTTTTATTTTTATTTTTTTTTTTTTGAACAAAATTTAAATTATGCATTATTTGATTGGCTGTTTACAATTGAGATCTCATTGGCCACAATAAGCAATTTAATGACATTTCGATATTTATTACATTAAAAATTGTTTATAAACAGGGTTATCAGTTTCGTCAACAACGTGGTACCCTAAATTATTCTTAAAAGTTTCAAACGCTTCGGAATCCTGAGGCGGAACTTGAATTCCAGCCAAAACTTTACCTATATCTGTAACAGTAATATGAGCATGTTTAATATAGAAATTTACACAGGAAACTCGACCAACTTTCTTGTTCATCATACCCGATCCATGATTACGATAATGAAAAAGTGAAATATTCCAATCCGATCTAAGTCCGCATAAGAATTTTTGAAGTGCTGCCGGTCTTTCTGGAAATTCTATAAAAAAAGATCACAATCTATTTAATATGATATCATTTAAGGGCAAAATCACGTGGGATATTCTATTAAAGTACCAAATCTATATAATCGTTCATTTTCGACTTTACTTCTGCCTCCTACTAGGTATCTAGCATGACTCTTGGCCATCTCATTATCGCTAATGTCTTGTCCGTACATTCCATGTTCTCTCAAATCATGCAAAATTTTAGGAAGCTCTTGCTCACGATTATTAACCATGAATGACATAAAAATCCATGCTTTGTCTGAATCAGAGTATCTTTAACAAAATTCGTTAATTAAAATTATCAGTAATATAATAAACAACGTACGTAAATTTTTTTTTACCTATAAGAGAATTCTGTTATTTGACGTGGATAAATATGATTATAAAGTCGCACGAAGCTAATTCAAATACAATATATTAGTGAAACATAATTATTATTAAATCCAAGGATTGTGAAGTGGTTTACACCTTCCAGGACGCTCCGGTATAATAACAGATATCAAAGCTTCACGTTGTTCCCCAAGTTCAGCACGTTCGGCAACAAATCTAAGCCGATCAAAGTTCATATTTGCTCCTGACGTGACGGCTACAAATATCCCACCACTTATTTTATTATCAGCTATATATTTTTTAACACCTGCTACTCCAAGTGCACCAGCAGGTTCTACAATAGATCGAGTATCTATAAAAGATTAAAGTGTAAAGAGTATTATTACAAAGCAATTAAATTTATCGTTTAATTAAAATCGTGTAAAAAAAAAAAGTATATCGTGCCTTCAAAAATGTCTTTGATTGCAGCACAAATTTCATCGGTGGTCACCATAATCATTTCATCCACCACCTTCCTACATACTCTAAAAGTTTCTTCTCCTACAATTCTAACAGCAGCTCCATCAGCAAACAAACCGACTTCTTCGAGAGTAACACGTTTTTGATTTTTTAATGACAAATGCATTGCATTAGCATCATATGTTTCGACTCCAATAATCTTGATGTTAGGCCATAACCTTTTGATGTAACTACCAATACCAGCGATAAGACCACCGCCACCAACGCATGCGAAAATCGCATCAATATGATCCAAATTGTGTAAACTGTGTTGACGCATGATCTCCATCGCGATTGTTCCTTGACCAGCTATAACGTATGGATCATCATAAGGAGGAATATTAGTAAGTTGCTCTATCTCGGCGAGACGAGAACACTCTTGCTTGGCTTCATCGAAATCATTTCCGTATAAAACAACTTTAGCACCAAGTCGTTCAACATTACGATATTTAATTTCTGGAGTCGCGCTGACATTCTCCAAATAAAAATAGAAGTAATTACGCGTATTGAAAGTTTTATGTTAGATCATTTTTTTTTTTTTGTTTATAAAAATTAAACGATTTATGAATGATGAAAAATTGCATACATTGGCATTACAATAGTTGCCTTAAGTCCAAGATGTTTTGCAGACATAGCAACACCTTGTGCGTGATTTCCTTAAAGGAAGTACCATCAATTTTGGTTTGAATTAGCTTTATAATTTATTTTCCATTTATATATAAAATCTTTGTTTTTATAATCATACAAACATATCTATTAAATTTATTAAATTAGTAACAAATCTTACCAGCAGAACATGCAATTACTCCTCTTGCCCTTTCCTCATCACTCAAATGAGCTATCTTATTATAAGCACCTCTAATTTTAAAAGAAAACACTTCATGTAAATCTTCTCTTTTTAACAACACTTCATTTTTTACTCTTAAAGAAAGATTTATAGCATGTTGCAAAGGAGTTTCTTTTACAATTTGATAAACTTTTGAGGTAAGTATTAAACCAAGATAATCGGGATTTGTCAAATTGGTATTTTGATTTGATAGGTGAGGCGAAGGCGATGTTGTATCAGTTTCTACAAGTGCTTTTCCCGTTGGGAGTGGATAAGAACCATTATCATTTGTCCTAATATATTCGGATGTCCTTTGCTTTTCTAAAGATTCATTTTCTTGAGGCTCATTATTCTTCTTAACCATGTTGAAGAAATTTTCTTGAAAAAAAACTTATACATCGATTCATAATTTTTGTTTTATCGTTTTTTACTGGAAACGGTTTCGGAAACCATTGTTAAGTCCGGAGCACAAGTGTAACGAAAGTGACCAATCACGTATCGACGCAAATTTTGAGCGGGACATTTTTGTGTCCCCCCGAATTGGAACGGAGTGGCCATGCGAGAGTATAAAATTATTCCGTTTTTTTTTTTTTGTCCTTGAAAGATAATTATGAATAAAGAAGGTACGTTATAGCTAAATCTTGATATATTGACAGACATTAGATCTTATAGTTTTAGAATAAACTTTTTATATAGATTCCAGTTTATTGACAGAGTCAAGACAAATAGAAATGGCATTTGACGAGCTTTAGAGTATTTGTGAGTATGAAACTCAATTTAAAGCTCTAAAATTAGAGGCGTTCCGAGTCAATTCCCATCGATTATAGTTGCTCTATTTAGTAACTCAAGGTGAAAGGCTATATATATACACACACTATACGTAGAAAGTTGCAACTACCAAAAATTAGCAAATAACTAAATGCTAATGATCTTAACATAATTACAGTGAATGTTTCTCACTTCATAATTTTTCTTTGACAATTTGATTCCCAATATACACACTTCAGATTTAGATCAAATTTTGGAAACTATACAATCACCTTCATCGATAAATATCAATTACGACAATTGTGATTTCCCTGGAAATAATGATTTAATTACGAAGGTGGATTTAAATAACAATGCTGAAGAAGTATCAGATCACTTATCTCAAATTAATAAATTCGAGAATTCTACCTCTTCTAATGTCACATCGACTTCTGATGTTCAACATCACGTTACATATTCGTCTAGAATTTCATCACCATTAAAGCTTAGTTTTATTCCCGAGACAATTAATGAATCTGAGGAGGAAAGTCAGGTTAACAGTAATGCTCAGATTGACAATTCCGGCAGCAATTCATCAGTTCATGATGTCGATGGCGAAGTTTTAAATCAATCCACATTTAGTAATTTAACAATTTCAGAGGAACCGGAAGGTGTTTCACATAATGAAGATACGCTCGAACGTAAGGAAAGTCGAAAAGATAGCCTGTTTGAGCCGATAAATCGGCTTAAAGAGTTAATGAATTCTCAGCTACCCGGATCGGATAACCCGTTAGAACCTCTTGAATCCAACACTGAAGTTCATTCTTCTCAAGACGCGTTGCCTGTTGAAAATTTGGTACCAGCATCGATTGACACTGACAAGAATACCGATGTAGAACTTAGTATAAAGTTTAGAAAGGGACGAGTTGCACCTGAAGCATTGAATTCATTTGATATCAAACAAATAAAGAATCAGGTGCAAAGAACTAATGCATACGGTAAAAAAAAAATTTAATAATTGAAAATTAAAAATAATAATATCGAATTAGGGATCTTTATTCATATCCCTTTCATAAATTTAGCTGCGAAATTAAACTCATTGAAACGAGAAACCACAGGCTTACAAAAATGGATTAGTACAAATATCGGGAAAGAACCCCCACTAATTGTAAAAAGTATGCATATTCCGTTTGGAAAAGTTTTTTTTTTTTTTACTTTATGAATTTCCTCTTTATTAATTGATTCTTTTATTTGAATAGATTACAAAAAAAGATCACACAGAACCTCTACTACTTTGAATAATAGCTCTATTAATATTAATAAAATATATTCTAATCCTGCTTTAGCCATAAGTACCAGCAGTCAGCCATCATTATCAACTGTTTCGAGTACAAATACAGAAAATTCTGCAGATATTTCGTTTACAAACTCAAATACGATGAGCTCTGATAAAACAGCAAGATCGAGTACTTCTCGAAATTCTTTAGATTTAGCAATTCAGGCTAGTTCATTAAGAGGTCGTCCCATATCACCTCCTTTATCACCTAGATCGAAGACGCCTAACTTTCTTAATATAACTCGAAACAATAGTTTTAGTAAATCTAATAGACTACCTATTTTTATGCCTCCGGCTGTAATGAATGATCCTTCCGCTAATTCACCAACCTCGCCTACTTCGTCTAATAAAATTTCGAAAACTGTATCAATTAAACCACGCCAACGTAGATTTAGCTTTCAATCTGTTTCTTCTCGTTTCAGTTTGGGATCATCAACTCCAACATTTCCCACGGCTATCAAAGAAAATAATGATCCTTCTTTATCCAATTCTAATTCAATCGAAGTGGATGAGACAGCATTGAATAAATTATGTGATATTATACCCCAAGCAGATCGTGAGGTGTTATCCAAGTATTTACATGCTGCGGGAGGAAAGGATGATTTAATGGCCGTTGGACTCTACATGAAAGATTTTAAAAATGATAAAATATCGTGTTGACGTCTTGTCAGTTCCAATATCGAACGATATATATATATATATATATTTCGTTATTAAAAGTTTATTGCTTTAGCAAGATTATAATTTATTACTATTATTATTATATAATATTTTATTGATTATATTTTATTTTTTCATTTAGTTTTATATTATTTTATTTTATTCTATCTTATTTTATTTTTTTAAAAAAAAAAGAAATTTATCACGATTAATGAATTTAATGAATTGTAAGGCAACGGATATCAAAATTTTAAATAAATTAATAACTTTTCCTCTTATTATTATAATTATTATTATTAATAACGTTTAATTCATTACTACTAGAATTGTTAGAATTACACAAACACCCTTTAAATCCTTGATTTTTCTCTACTTGTATTGTTAATTCTTCTAATCCTATTATATGTGATTTTAAAACCCGCGTAACTTCACTGATAATAAATTGTTCCTCAAATTGATCTTTAATTTGAATATGTATACTTCCTATTAAGCATTGACTATCATTAGGCCAAAATCGTGGCATTGTATAAGAGATTATTCCATCGACATGTAATAGCTAATATGTTTACAAAAATGATTAATTAATAAAATAACGCGTGATTTACAAACAAAATAGGAAAAAATTTTTTTTATTTACCTTTTGTAAGCCTTCAGTTATACGATACTCAAGACTATCGCTTATTGAAAGCATTAAGACTGCAGCCGAATGTTTAACTAATGGTACAACACTCATGAAAATTAATCCAGCGATCAACATTGAAGCCAAAGGATCAAATCCAGTCCAACCAAATTGATTAATAAGTAATGTTGAAATTATTACTCCAATTGAACCAAGCGTGTCAGCCAATATATGTAGGTAAATACCTTTTAAGCAAGCAATTTTAAATTAGATAAATAGTAAATCAATCAACCATTCGAGATATTTTAAAAAGATAACAAACCTTCCATATTTGCATTATCACCATGTTCATGATGATGATGATGATGATGATGATGTCCATGAAGACTGCCGTGATTTGCATCAGAACTGTGATTATGACTCTTATGATTAATATTATTATGATCATGGTCATCTCCATGTCCAGAATGTCCATGATGATGTCCATGATTAAATGCTAAAATCCCCACCAGGTTAACAACAAACCCTAAGAAGCTTACTAATAATAATCTATCAGTGTTCATTTCGGGGGGATCAATTAAACGACCGATAGCCTCGAACATGATAAATATAGAAATCAAAATGAGGAATACTCCGTTCGCAAATCCTGAAAGCGTTTCGATTCTTCCATACCTATATAACATAAATAACACCTTGAATGTAATTGAGAAAATGTATTATCAAATTATTTCTTATATTTACCCATATGTAAACTTATTGTTCTCGGGCCATTTGCTCATGATAGCAGCAAAAAGTCCAACCGCCAATGCCAAACAGTCAAAGAACATGTGAATAGCTAAAAATTGGGAGGAATTAAAAATACAAAAACGTGAAGAGACTGAGATTTTTTATTTTTATTTTTCAAGATTAATTAATTATTGGACGGTTTTTTTTTTTGCTTAACGTACCACAACCTTACCATCCGAAATCAAACCCAAGCTATTGGTCCAGATGCCGTATACCATTTGAACAAACATATAGCTCAAATTTAATAATAAAAAATAAAAGATTTGCCGCGAATCACGATTATCCAAGATAATTTTGATGTAGGATCTGATATTTTCCAAGATTCCGAATCCTCTTAATGCATGAAATGTAGAATTTGCGCTGCCGTGAAGTGGGAGCTCAAAAGCACTACCACCAACTCCAGGTGATAGAAAATGTGTTTCATTTGCGTATTGCGTATCAGCACTTATCAAATGATAAATTCCCAAAAACATGATACCGGCCAACACTATATCCAGAATCGAAAATTCTTCATAAAATAAAAATAATCCTAACAAAATGGAATTTCCAATTGAAATTGGCCATCCTGCTGTAACATGAGAGAGTGTGGAAGTTTTTATACCAATCGAGTGGCCGACAAAATAGTCAAATATAATTAGACCAGCTCCCAACCCTCCATATGCCACAACCACGTGTTTAATATTTTCTATGTAATTTGTAGAGTACTATAAAAAAAAAAACTAATTTTAATTCGAAATTTCAAATTATGTAGAGTTATAAAAAAATTTTATGATTCCATATGATTCCATACCATAAGATATTGAACAAAAGCTAAGGGTGAGATCATTAACGCCCCAAGAGGAACAGAAATAGCAAGTAAACGTCTATTCCCACCCACATCGACAGCCAGCTTTTTCCCTAACGTTCGTTTATAACCTGATAACCCGATTGAACATAGTATAGAAAGATATCCAATAACTAGACTAATAATAGTATGATTTTCAAAATAACTGGCATCAAGAATTGTTTCCATATCTTGTGATAAAGGTATTGAAGGTTTTGAATTTGTACCTAATAAAATAAAGGAATCACTTAAACCAAAGAAAACTTAAACAGCAATTAAAGAAATAATTTAAAATTTGTTACTTGAGACATATATCAAATCTACAAAAAACGACAAGATTAATGTCCATGCTGTATAATATGCTCCCTTGGCCTAAATGATTTTAAAAAATATTAACTTTAATATATCAATCAAAAAACGCGAACTTAAATAAGTTTATAATACCGTTAATGTAGAATCTAATGATGAATTATTTCTTAATAGATACGTTATAAATGGAATATTCCATATGTCTGAAAATTGTGTTAATATTAAAGTTCTATCAAGATTTTCATATGAATTTAATTGATTAGTTCAAAAGTTAATGAGAAATATAAGGATAAATTAAATTATATATCTCACCTTGTCGATCTTAGACGTGATAATCCCGCAAACCATAAATAAATTTGAGCGGTATATATTAGAGTATACAACGCAACTTTTGGCCACTGAAAGTGATACAATTATATTAAAGATAAGATATTACAATAAAATAACTTAATAATAAATTAATCTTACTTTCATGCTTATAAGTGTTCGATGACTATTCGCGGATTTTTGCCAAGCTAACAACAAAAGTCCAGCCCCTCCTAAAACTCCAAACGTTACGACTGACACTGGAGCACCACGTAGAAGAAACCAATCACGAGCTATGTATGTTGATAAAGCATGTATAAACTTGGAAATAGTGAGGAAAGTAAGTAGGTGTATGGGTATACTTTAGGTTTGAGGAAGTGAAATGTAATTAAATAAAAAAAAAATTTTAAAAAGTTAGATCTTTTTGACTTACGAAGAACATTATAACTATACGGTAACATTCTTATTGAAAACTACCGAAGTAGATCGTACGAAATATCGTAACAATCGGTACAATGTCTTCACAGTCAGCTTGATCACTGAATTGAAATCCACTTACTTTGACGGTGTTCTAACATTTATTTTATCTATATTTATTGTGCCTCCACGTTTTATAGGAGCATACGAAACCTTTGGATCCGGCATTTGACTCGATTTTAAGGTGAAAAAAAGGTAAAATCAGCTTTTATACGTGAAGGTTAATCTCTGGTGAAACTTACGTAAGTAAGTACGTCATACGTCGTTTTTTTTTTTTTATAGTCCGGACTAAACAACTGTCCGTCCGCTCAAAATTTGAGTCGATACGTGATTGGTTCATTTCGTTACACTTGTGCTCCGGAATTAAAAATGGTTTCCTAGTTAGTCCGAGAGGAATAAATTTCGTCACGTCTTTCAGCTTAAAATTTAGACTTTAACAATACATAATCGGTCATGGACACCATCAAAGAACACATTGAAAGTCGTGATTTTGCTGCGCTTGTTGATTTCTGCGAAGATTTAGAATTACAAGTAAACTTTAATTCGTTTTTTTTTTCGCGATTTTTAAAAAGTACAACCGACTTTTTATTTCGTAAAATGGTACTTAACCTCTTATCTCAAAACGTAATTATATAGCTTGCCCTTACACCGAACGCCAATATAAGTCCAGAAGATTTTTATGGACCTTTCTTACTTGGATATTTATTAGAACAAGATCTGTAAGTAAGTTTTTTTTTTTCTTTTGTTCATAGGCCTGTAAATTTTTTTAGAATAAAAGTAGTAATTTACTGACGCGAATTTCGAATTCTAGTCCTTCTGCTCGTTTCCTTTGGAAGCGATTACCAGAAGCTGTCAAAAGTTCATCCAAAGAATTACGAGCTATTTGGGACGTTGGAGCAGCTTTATGGCAAAGGGACTATGAAAATATATATGATCTTATAAGTTCAAAAACATGGAGTCCCATTATCACGCCTTTGATGGAGCAATTGGCCGGTATTTTGTTAATTATTTAATCATCTAAAAAGTTATAAAAAAATTTTAATCACCAACATCACTTATTTTTTTAGATAATTTACGAGAACGAATGCTTAATCTTATATCGGAGGCGTATTCTTCTATTGTGATCGATGATGCGGTCAAATATCTTGGTTTTCCGCGTGAAAAAGTATTAACGAGTAAGAATTTGGATAAAATTGAAAGTTAAAAAAACGTATTTATATTCAAGTGATTCCTTTTCTTTTTTTTTTAAAAAAAAAAAAAATTCTTTTTAGTCGTCGAAGAGCGCGGATGGGAAGCTGATCTAACTACTAATATGTTACAGCCAAAGAAAATTGGTAAGCGCAAAATTATTTTATCATCGTAGCAACTTCAAATTTCCACTTTGTTTTATTTATTGATTGATTTAATTATTTTTCAGTCCAAGAAGTTCAGCAATCCACTTCCCTTGCGAATTTCTCCCAACTTACCGATTTAGTCATTCACTTGGAGAAATCTTAAATTGTAATTAGGGATAGTAATATACTGTTATATCTTTTATTATATCTATAACTTTTACTTTCTATATTTATAACACCTTTTTTCTTTTTTCTTTTTTTTAAAAAAAAACAAAGATAGCCAATGCTGTGATGTTTTTATTAGATTTAAATATAAATAGATAAAGATATAAACAAATGAGAACGAACAACTCGAATAAGTAAAAATATTAAATTATTCTTCTAATAAGAGTAAATTGACTTTTATGCCAGGATGAAAGACGTTAAATTCATCTACAGCTTGTTGATTAATGCTTCCTAAGGCTCTAGCATATCCACCTAAAATGAAATCACTTTCATAGCTAGTTCTATATATCGTAACTTTTTTAAGCGGTTTACATTTCTCAATCAATCTCCATAGAGAAAAATTTGTAGTATTTTCGAAAACATGCTCAGGATAATCATAAATAATTAAATCTCTCAGTGTTTTAAATTTATCAAATATATCATTTAATAATTCGATTTTAATATCTGTAATTGAAGTAAATGAGAATGACAGTGTCATCAATTGAGAACAATGATTAGCGAGTAAATCCAAAAAAGAATACGTTAAAGAGGGAATTGATCTCATGTGATGAATTATTAGTTGCTTAAGTGTGTTTTTATTAGATGTTACTATCTTTTCTAGTCCTTGGATTGTGATTAGAGCACATTTACTGAAATTTATGGATTCTAATTTTGTGCAATGACTTGACATTGCGATAATTGCATCACTTGTGACCTTCATTGATGCTGTTAGTTCTATGCCTTTCAACTTTTGTTTTCCAAATTTCGCAAGAGCATATATTCCAACATCTGTAAAACTAGAACGAGAGTTCGCAACGTTTACATATTCAAGATTATGACAATAATATGCAATCTGAGATATTGATCCATCCGTAACTCCCGAACAATTATCAAGTGTTATACGTTTCAACTCTGTAAAATTTTGAACTAAAGCTTTCATGGTTGATTCTGTGACATCCTTTGCTCCAGTCAAATCTAACGTTTCAACAAAATTAGGAACCTTCATATTACATAGATAGCGGATTTGTATTGTTGAAAGAAATGAAACGTCGCGAATTATTAATTCTCTCAAGTTTGGACAACGCAAAACTACAATTCCCAGCCAATTTTCATTGACCGTCTCGTATAAAGACTCTTGTATCTCATTAACATCGATTGTAAAGACACACAGTCGTGCCTGCTCTCTCGCTGTATTTAATAATATTTCGAGAAAGCTTTGAAAGGACTTAAGAGCTGTTTTACTATCATTACCAAACTTTGGAGTTCTCCACAATTTTAAAGTAGCATACTGGTTCCATTCTACACTCACAAGTGCACAAGTGAATAGTTCTTGATGACTTACATAGTTGAAAATGCTATGAAGAGCAAGCTGGTGTTGCATGGTGTAAACAAATAATATAAAAATTTTTTTATTTTATGATAATAATGTCAGTAGACAACAAAGATCAGCTTAAATAATTTTTAAATTGGATAGAATATATATATATATTTTTTTTTGCAAGCAATATTTTACGATTATTCTTGATTATATGGAAAAAAATATATTATATTCATTAATTATTAAATCACTTTTAAACTCAATTTTGATTATAAATGAGAATTATTATAAATATAATTTATAACAAATATTAAATTGACATGATTAATTTTGATATAATCAAAATTAATTAGTGTCAAAGGATACATTTGATAGAAAAGATAAAGGAAAAGATTAGAAAAATCAGTAAAAAAAAAAAAGCAAAAAAAAAGAATTATGTAAGTGAAAATGAGATAATCTATTATACAATCAAGAAAATTTTACTAAAAATTTAATATATTAAAGTTACAAGTTTGTAAAATATTAAAAGAAAAAGATAAATGATTAAATATTGATATTAAATATAAAGCTGAAAAAAATTGACTTTAAGCTTCTATTTCTAAGACAAAGAATAGTAAAAAAAAAAGAAGCTAATTCAATACTAATACATTCTTATAGTTCAAGAAATCATTTTCTGATTAAAGTTTAATCTATCAGTTTTTTTTAAAACTATTATGAAGATTATATAATAATTGATAGTAATCAAGAATAATTTTATAAAGAATTTTTATTATAAAGTAAGCTTCTATTAAGAAAAAGCGATAAAGATATGATCAGTTTATAAGGCTAATAATATCACCATTATTCTAAATAAAAAACTTAAGTAAAAAGTTATTTTATCTGATAAATTAAATGATAATAAAGAATTTTAGTTGACTGATAATGAATCACTCTTAAATAATAACAAAGTTCCAAATGAATTATTTATGATTTCTAATACTAATATTTATAATTCTGATAAAAAGATTATATTATGATTATAAGCAATTTATGGATTTTTCTTTAGATATTCAAATATCAAAAAAAGTTTAAACTTTTTGATATTGCAATTAATTTGTTGGTCAGTTTTTTAGCTTCATTTTAAAAAATATTAATCTATATTAATTTGAAGAATTTTTATCAATTGCTTATAGAACCAGAAAGTTATTAAGTATTAAGAAAAATTAAAACTTTGCAATTTATTCTAATTGTAACAAATTATATAATATTACTACAATAACTTTATTAAATTCAAATAATAATACAAATACAGGATTTAAATATATACATATTGAATTTCTAAATCATCTAATATAAAGTTGATATAAATCCTATAAAACAGAAATATCAGTAAATAATAAATATATCTATTAACCAAAGATTATATATCTAATATCATCTTTAAAAATTTAAATATTATCAATGTATAAAAGACTAGTATTTGAATTATTTTTAATTAATAAGCTAATTAGAATACTAAATTAATTTTATGACTAATATTTATAATGATGAAATCTAGAGATTTTTTTATTATACATTAATGGTTCAGATAATTTAAATAATTCTCAATTTTTTACACCTGAAATTACTGATTAATATTTAAGTATTATGATAAGCTTAGATTGATTTTAAATCTTTAATTTAACTTCTTATAGTAGTAGTATAATATATAATATATTTTGTAATCTTTTACAGAATATTAAATTCATAAAAGAAAATATGTTAATCTTTAGTTTTTTACTAGAACTAAATAAAATAAAATTGCATAATATTAACCATTTTCTTATATTAATATTGACAAATTGCTAAAATTTTAAAATAGAATTTACTTATCAATTATTAACAAATATTCTAATGGTAAATATATCAGAATAGCTATTGTTACAGGATAATTAATTATATAATTTACAAATAATTTACAATTGTGACATAATACTGAATGTTAAAAATGGTAAATATATTAAACATGTTTAATATAGTTAATATGTTTAATATATCAGATATGTTTAATATAGTTAATATATTTGACATAAATTAAATATATATATAAAAAACTAAATTTATTAAAAAAGATAACTATTGATTGTTTAATGCAATCTAATTAGTTCAGTAATAACTATATGTAACCTTTCTTTTTAAAGATAATGTAAAGTTACTCTTTCTTATTTGTAATCAATTCATCTTTTGTATTTCTTATTTAGTATTTATTCTTTTAGATAGTTTATTTATCAATAAACGCTTTTTATCTAAAATGTCTTAGTAATATCTTATATAGTCACACTTTAATATAATAAAGTTGTTAATCTAACTGATTAGGATTTTATTATAAGAATCTTCATTAATATTATAATGAATTATTAGTTATAATAGATGATTACTGATTTCATTACACAAATATAATTTTACTATGATATAATTTTTTCAGAAATATTTTCACATTATTT